GAATCACTAGTATTTCTTCTCTTTAGTTCGGAGCCTATTTATAAAGGTTATTCTGAGTTAAGACTTAGGCTGAAAGTGTCTCTTTCATGCTGGCCATCGTTGTTGCTCTCCTCAATATGCCTTCAAATTTCAAATTAATGCACTGCTGCAACAACAAAAGTATACAATACTTGCAATGATTTCGTTACTTTCACAAGAATATGAAAGACGAGGAGAACTTCAAGTACCACGTTTCCGAGTTCATTCAACAGTGAAAAGTATAAAAATTGCACCGCATTATACTAGAAAACGCTTAGAAGAAAAGTAGCAAAACAGAACTCGCAGTCAAATAACAGTATTGAGCGTGATGTATATGGGTCAGAAGGGTTCAATAAGCAAACAGAGCGGTGCGGACCAAAAATAATCATAATAGTAAATTGTTCTTAAAAATTTTAGTGAAATTGTTTAAAAGTAAATAAATTGTAACTAATTATCTGTTACGGGATCAGCAGAGTTGAGAAGTTTTACAAGAATTATATGTACTACAAAAACAAATAAAACTTTGGTTGAAGCAGAGGCTCTGAGACTTGCGAAAGCGCCGAAATGCTACTTCAAGTAAGGGTTTTTTCCAATCTACTATGGCCTATAGTACCATAACTATTAACGCCAAAAAGGTACCACCATGTAATTTCCATGTTTTGTGTAGAAAATATGACTTTAAAATGTCTTTTTAAAAAAATTTAAAATGTCCATTTCTGAGAAAAATTACTTTGAATCTTCGTTTTTATTTTACTCCAAAATAAAATTTGCTAATAACATGCATTTTAGCACTTTTGAATCTGCAATAGACAAGCTTCCAAAAAAATTACAAATCAGAAAATTCTGTTTCAAATGAAGAAAAATACAAGTTCCTAAAGGTGACCATGCCAAGGGTGAATCGCATTTTTTTTTCGCACTTTAAAACGGTCTAACTTTGCCGCCAGCGCACTTTCTGAGATAAACTCTTTCGATTTCAAAATTCAGTAACAAATGCTACAAGTAGGCAAAAAATGAAAAAAATCTGAGACATCCAGGTGCAAACTTGTGCAACTCGGCATGGAATGGCCCATATATAAAATTCTAAAGTTTTTTGTCGCCCTTAACCTGACCCCAACTTTCATTTCGTTATTATTATTATCAAAAGCTCCTGTGAAATGAAAGTGCATACACAGAAAAACAACTAAAAGAAAAGCTTTATTGGTGGTTATCATTAATTCGGCGACACTGGATTCTTCTACAAATATGTATTATTGAACTGTGCTGCTGATATCAAACTATATTTCACAGTCATTGAAACAATGACTACTTAGGTGTAGGTAATTTACAACTGTCTGGCCAAAACTGTTGCTCAGTGAAGTCTGCCAAATTAGATGCTGCTAATGTAGCTGGGTGAATGTCAGAATACCACTGGAATGTTGGTGGAGATTGATTATATCGCCTATGCCACAGCCTTTGAATTCGGCGAATCACTGCGCACGTTCGTTGAAAGTCAGATTCAACAAAAACCCGTCAAGGCATTTTTCAATAAACGAATGAAAACTGAAAAATTTCAAAGTTCACAATTAAGAACAATGGTTAAAAAAGACCAAAAGAATCTCCGTTTCTCGTGCCTTCAAAAACGTATCAATTAACATTAAAAAATGTCCTTCTTCTTTTGTTTTCCCTCTTTTGCGTCTGTTACTAAATACAGCGTACTTTCTAACTGGACGTCAGTAAACATTATCTTTAGAATTCCGAACGAAGGCGTTGCGAAAGAAAAAATTAAAGGAAGCGGAAAAAAACTGACGAAAGAGACGAAAACATGACAAATATATTTGGGTAAAAAATTTTGTATACACATAAATTAAATTTCGAATTTGCAAGACGAAGGAGAGCTATAAATTCAATATTATTATTGCTATTAATATCTGCAAAAGCTTTAAAGGAGAAATTGGAAAGGTACGTTTTTGATACGTTTCTTATCAATACGTTTAGCATAACTTGTAGTATGTAAAAATGCAACAAATATTGTAAGCAGTAATAAAAATAAATATATTCGGTTTTTCTCAATAAATCGACGAAAGCAAAAACAAGTAGGACTCAAAGCAGAAAAAAAAATTGAAAATCAAACCTATATGAATTTTTCAAACAACGTTAATGATCTCCAAAAATCCTTCACTTCTTCTCAACCTTTTCACAGAAAAGCAACTCAGAATTGTCGACTTGATTTGTATATAATTGCCATATTTTAACCAGATGAGAAATTATTTTCATATTTGTAATGACAGCCCAAAAATATGCCTGTCCGGCTTAAATAAATTAACCGACAAATCTTAAGTATTGAAGCAGGAAAGCTGTATGATATGCATGAAATACTCCGAGCGAGAACTAAGTGTGCAGTTCAGTCTTCTTCCTCAGCCTTCTCTTCTGGAAAATCTTTTTCCTTTAAAATACATTTAACATGGCGGTCTTAAAATACAGAGAAAACCCATTTACATCAAAGACAGAATAAAACTTGGTTATTCAATCTTTCTTTTTGACGACGTAATTCTGTTTTAGAGAATCGGAAGCTGATAGTATAAGTTTGACTAATTTTTTTCAATTCTTTTTTTTTTTTTTTTACATTTATCTTATGACAAAAAAAATACTAAAAAGAATAAGATTTTTGCTTAGAAAAAAACTATCGATACATGCTTACTTTTTTTGTCATCATCAAAAATAATCAAACAAAAAAAAAAATCATCAAAACAATCCTACCAAAAAATTTTAAACTAAAAAATTGTAAACCGTTTAGTTTACTTTCAGTTACTGTCTATTACTGTCTCCCCAACCCTATTTGAAATTTTCTTCGCTTTTCTAATTTCCTTTTTTCATGGACTTCAAAAAGCACATAATGTCGCCATTGCAGTTGCTGTTATTACCATACCGTTGGTGGATACACGTGGAACAACAAGTATATACGTACATACTAAACACCTAAAAATGAAATACAGTAAAAAAATATAAACTGCAACGCTTTAGTTACCTTTTTTTTGAATCGATCGAATACAGTGAAATAAAATCATCCCTTCAATTATAAACTGAATAAACCTGCTGCACGATTTCTGTAAAACAATTAAAGGTGTTAGCAGGCAGAAAATTTTCCAAAATCACATCAAAACTTTACTCCTCCAATTCCGTCGTTTCAAGACACCTCCTGTTTCACCCTTCCCGACTCCGTCCTCTTCTCTTCTTTCGTCTTCTACACCTTCTTTCCTTCTATCTCCAGTCCCTAAAAAGTTTTTTAAAAAAATTTCTGTAAACAACTCAAATAATAATACAGTGAAAAAGACTTCTATAAATGATATATGAAAAAATATAAAAAAAATCTTGATTTTATCAAACGACTGATGGAAAGTTTTCGGTCTCCTATGTAAGATCCTTTTACTGAATGAGCTAGAAAATTTTCTACCTGCTAACACCTTTAATGTTTTTTTCTTACTAGCTCATTGAAGGAAAGAAAGGTCAGTCTTGAACAATTATTAATTTATTTCAAACACATGTGCTCGACTGTCTTAAACATTTACTTTTGGCGTCATTCCTGTTTTACTCAGATAAATACAAAAAATTTTTCGGCTCATGGTAACTGGAAAAAAAAAAAAAAAAAGATTTGTTAGCGATATATAACAACAATTAAAATAACCATCGTCGACAAAAACAATTATTATTTGAATAATTGACGTTTAATAATTTGTAGCACAAATAATAGCAGCAATAAAAATAACAATAACGATAATAATGATGACATAAAAAAACGAGTGAACAAATAGAGAGGAGCAATAAAAGAAGAAAAAAAGATGTAGAAAATGAAAGGATAGATAAATTAAACTGTTACAGTAATCAAGTGTCGTTTCAGTTGTAAAAATTGTCATAAGCAGTCGCTTACGTAGTGTCTGTCTGTCAGTGAACCAGTTTCGTAATAAGGCAGCAGCGGTATTCGTTATTGGCAACGCCCACAGGAACAACAACAACAACAACAACAAAAACAACAACCACAACAACAGCAACAGCAACGACAATAACAATAGAAATAACAGCGGTAGAAGCAGCAGCAGCAGCAGCAGCAGC